TTATCTGAGCATAGTAACTTTAACATGAAATTTTGACTTGTGTTGTAGGGGCTATTTTTCCATTTTAGCTATTCAGAGCTGTTTGATATCGTAGCCACTTTCTTTGATCTTGAACAAGTTGCTAACTTCATTGGCTCTCAGTTTTAATAGTAAAATGGAGAATTGTAAGGGTGTAGTGAAGTGATGTATGATTACTTAGCATAGTGCATAAGATTGAGCATCAATAGTAGTCATTGTTATTACAGCAGTTGACTTGACCATTCTCTACTACTGTGCCCCAGGGTTAAGGACTCCTATCCACCCTGGTCAGGGAAAGCAGATAGAAAAATAAGCTGGCATTCCCAACAGGGATGCAGGCAACAAACTCATCTGATACCTCCCTATGCTGAGCAAGACTGTCTTGTATAGCACTATCTCTGCATATCCACCCCAGGGCTGGAGCGCTGCCTTTGTTGCTCAAGGACATCCCACCCTACCTGGGGCTCCTTCTCCATGTTGTGAATGCTTATTTCTGTCAATTGTTGAGCAGTTTTAACTTGACAGATAACTTTTAAAAGTCATTTGAAAAATCAAGATCATAATGAATAAGGCTATAGAAAAGCAGCTTTCATGTGACTGATCCCAAACACCGTCTATGCGGGTTTTGGTTTCTTTTGTTTTTTAAGAAATTCAAGGGTAAATAAGAAAGTATTGCTACAAACCCATAGAAACCTTTATTAAACAAAAATATCCAAGTGTGAAGTTACTGTTTCTTAGCATACCCCCATCTAGGTCTGTATGCTTCAAAGGCAGTGTTTCCATCTCTCTGCCCTTCCCCAAGGACTTCTGTGTTCTTGATCTATAACACATCAGACCAGCAGTCTGGGCATCCGTGAGGGACGCAAGCCACATTCCTTTGAAATATTCTTTGAGTTTGAAGAACAAAAAGTGTGAAGGGGCACACTCTGGGCTGGAGGGTAGGCAGACTGTTTCCCAGTGAAATGCTCCTGGGACAGCTTTGGCTACCCTTGAAGAATAAACAGTACATTGTTGGGAGGGGGTGGAAATTCTTCAGTGCAACCTCTTGCCTTTTTCTTACCTGCATAGTTCTCCATTTCCCTTAAAACCTCTTTCTAACACAACCCTGTGATCATCCTGTGTCCATCAAGGAAATCTCAGTATTACCTTTGGAGTCTCAAAAAATAGCTTCCGGAACTTTCTGAACTGACCTCTCTGCCTTGAATTTAATTAGCCAGCAGATTCCTCAGAAGCCACTGTTTTGATTGGACTTTTTTCCTTTTCCTTAGGCAACCTAATAGGATTAAGGCCTGTGTGTTATTGAAAGAACTTGTCTGCAGTCATCTATCTATAGCAGAAGCCTTATTTAAACATCTTTTGTTTGGCATACTCCCATGAGTGTATGAACTAGAGCCTTAGTAGCATTCTTTCTTTGACTTATATACAAAGAAGTTTTATCTGCATCCTTTATAAAGGACTCCAAAATATATTAGGCTGAGATCGGTGTGTAAAGTAGGAAGTGGAGGTTTGTTGCATTCTCACCAACAAGCAGAATACGTTTTTTTCCAATCTACTACTTTAGAATCTTTCATCTGATATGTGAAATGTATTTATGTTGAGTCATTTCTTTCTCACTGGTCAACCAGAAGATCATGAAATGATTCTGCAGAAGCGGTAGCATTACACTGGGGTTCTTTTTTTGTATAGATCAGATAAAGAGGCCTGCAAATGGAAGTGAGTCCGCCTACTTCCTTTGTATGGCGATGCCAGTGATGTGGCCTTTATCATTGGTGCAACCTTCAGTGGTTCACAAAACCCGCTTCCAGAGGACCCAGGGGCTTTTGATGACTGGTGGCTACCGCAGGAAGGAACATGCCGGCTTTTGACATCCAGGCTACTTTCGTGTTTCTGTTTCTTCCCTCCCTTTCAATGTTTAGAAAAAGTGCGTCCAGGGTGATGCCATGACCAGTTGGAAGATTTCTAAATTTGGGATTGATGCTCTTAGGTTTCACCGAATCGGCTCCAACTCCTAGCAACCCTCGTATAAAGGAATGAAGCCCGGCCTGCGCCCTCCGCCCCGTTCTTAAGCGCCAGCCCATGGTCACAGTGACTGCACCAACGGGTCTCTCTCCCTCCTTTTTCCACTGTGACGTTCTACTTTATCCTTACGAATATTGGGGCTGTTATTGCATGACACTGTATTAGATAAGTTATTATGGTGTATATGTGTGTGTCTATACCTGTTACTTATATGATTAGTATTAATACATGTTGCATGTAATCACAATAGTATTTTATGATGATGATGCCATTTTTCCTTTACAACACCAATGGCTTCTTTTTCAGAGCAATAATGAAATTCCACAGTATGAAAATGGAAGAAATCAATAAAATTATTCGGGAACTTTGGCGAAATACTTACCGCGGACAAGGTAACTAACCTGGTGTGGCTGGCACAGATGTTCTATCCCAAGCTGTGCCATCAGAGTGGCACCCACCCCCAGGAGCCCGCACGGAGCAACCTCCCTTTGAGGTCTTCTCAGAGCTCTTAGTTCAGCAGCATTTCATTCCAAACCTGACAGGCCTCGCCTCTTTGTCTGTGGCACTGGTTATATTTAGCTGATGACATGATCGCTTTTGTGGCAGTGTAGATAGGGATAAGCCGGAATGAGATAAGAAGTAAGCCAGCAAGGGGAAACTTTTCATAGCCGAACCAAGAAAGGCAGCGCCGAGGCCAAGGAATCAGCATCTCGAGTTGCTTCCGGCCAGGAGTCCACCCAGTTCCACCCTCCCCGTCAGAGCTGTAGGTTCCAGACCAGCTAGTATTTCCCTGCCAAATGTCAGCCGGGGGACAGACGACAAATGGCCACAGAGTAGAGCCTCTCTGAATCATCATCTTCTCTGTGTCAGATATTGAATATATAGAGATTCGGTCTGATGCTGATGAAAACGTATCGGCTTCTGATAAAAGGCGGAATTACAACTACCGAGTGGTGATGCTGAAGGGAGACACAGCCTTGGATATGCGAGGCCGCTGCAGTGCTGGACAAAAGGCAGGTATCTCAAGGGCACAGCCAGCCAGCCCTTACACGCAGAACTTCAAGAAAGAAGCACATGTCAGTGCCAGGGAGCTCCCAAGTGAGGCACCCCACTGCATGCCCTGGTGCCCCGGGAAGTGAACTCCCCCAGGGCTAACCATCACCTCTTGCTGCATTACAGGGAGAAGCATCTGGACCAATTTCTGGAATAAGCCAGATGTAGAAAAGACACTAAAGATGTGCCATGTCCCACAGCACTCAGTATCCAAATAAGTGCTGGGTCATCACTTAGACGTCACACTGCTTTCTTGTGTGCCACTGACCGGGGAGGGAGTGGGGGTGTCATGGTTATAAACACATTGATCTCAGAGAGTGTGGGGATGAGGAAGGTTATTGGTGGAGTTGGTGACCTTACAGTATTATTAACATAAGATCCTAGATTGCCTTCTCCTTTCCCCGCCACACTCGTATACTCAGCTCCTGGGTCAGTCCTGCTGAGGCACCAGGAGAGCAGAGGCAGGATGTGGCTGAGAGAGAAAAGCAGACAAAGGGAGGAGAGCAGGGTCTGTGCCCCTCGAAACAAGGCTGAGTCCTCTCCTCCAGGTGCCTGTTCGCCCGCTTCCCCACTCCACTGAGGCTGAAGCAGCGATCACACTAGAGCTAGCACCTCGGACCCTCATGTTCCTAACCAACTAACTGTCCTAGTTCTAGAAGCTGATGCCCCCAATACCTGTGTTATTTGCATAAATAGTTTTCCATTGCTGCTTAACATTCAGTGTGTGTGTGTGTTGTGTCATAGCCCAGACGCTAAGCCGATTTTAAGACAGCTGCAGATTGTTATCTTGACTCTCGTCTGCAAGAATGACAGCATATTGATTGTGAATCAGTTTCCCCTACTTGTTCTGGTGATTTTCAGTAGTAAATTTGAGTGAGAAAATAAGAGTTTCAAGCTTCATCTCTTTGGATTAAAAATACTTTGAGTAAAAGCAGATTTCCTCTCGCTATTGTACGTTGTAAAACTCAACTGAAAGTAATGGCTTCAGTGTAAGGGGAGCGGACAGGCGGATGGCTTCCTGGAGTTGAGTTGAGCTGGGATTTCACATCGAACTCCACTCTGCCTCCCGCTGGCTTGTACTGAGGCTCGAGAAGCCAGTGACGCTGCCCGTGAGGTGGAGAGATGTGACAGGACAGCGGCAGCAGTGGGATTCAGACAGGAAGGACATACCTGTCCTCCTGAGAACCAAGCTGAGGCCCTGCCTATGCAAACCCACCACCCACTCTGAAATAGCCTCACTCCGAAATCCAGAAGGGGGGAGGCTTACAACTCACACGGAAGTGCTTTACTCCACCCCAAGTAGTCCCGCACTCCTGCTTCTGTACCCATGCCCCGCAAATTGCGCAAGCTGGATTCGAGGGCTTGAGTTAGATTCTTAGTCATCGTGAAAAAATGTATAATAGTTTCAGTTTTCTGGGTTTCCTACAGATAAGCCTTAAATTAAATCCCACTTCGATTCCCCTAATAACTTTGACCTTTGATGATTTTCTCTCTCCTCCTCTCAAAATTATATGCACAAACGTGTAAGTGAGTGTAGGTTGGAGCGTGCACATTTGAGGCCAAATGTGACCATTTTTAAGATGACTTGAAGAGAGAGAAGTTTCTGTCAGGCTCTGGAAAATGTAACACTTCCGAGTTGGGTTTTTTAAACAAACTTAACACGAAAACAAAATACCCAAATGAAGAATTTTTAAAGTTCATAATTGTATGTCTGTTTTCAAATATTCAGATACAGTTAGCTACTATGCGTTTCTATTTCCAGGCTCTGGTTTTAAGTGTTGTAGTTGGTGGAGTATTGTTCTTGTGGAATCAGCCCTGCTCTTGGCCTCCTTTTTCCTTGCAAGTGACAGCCTGAGGTCGTAACAAGCAGTCTGCCTTCTAGAGTGGCACCCGGGTGGGGCAGTGCGAGGAGAGATGTCCCCAAGATCAGAGCAAGTCCCTTTTCCCTTCTGAAGAAGTCCGCCAGCTCCGCACACCTGCCTCAGGCTGGAGGTGAGGGAAGTGGAAGCAGGCTCGGCTTTGGCGCTGTTTTCCAGGTCTTGGCCTCGCTCATCATCCGTCTGGCTCTGGCTGAGACATTCTGCCTGAACTGTGGCATCCTTGCCTTGGACGAGCCGACCACAAATCTGGACCGAGAAAACATCGAGTCTCTTGCGCATGCTCTTGTTGAGTAAGTATCTCCAAGCTGAAGAGGCTTGTGCTGGTTTGAAAAGTGCGATCAAGAGCAAGCAGGCTGTGGTGGAAACCCTCTCTAGATGAGTCCTCCTCGCGGGAGCTGGGCGGTGCCAAGCCATAGGCTTGACCTTTGAAAACCTTTCCTCAGAGCCCTTGAAAGGAAACCAGATGGTGAGCAGCAGCCCCGGGCACGTCCCACACGTCCCGAGTGCTGTGGGGTCAGGGGTCTGTCTCTCTCTCTCTCTCTCTCTCTCTCTGTCGTGTTTGAAGTAGTAACTATCAGGAATGACAGAGCGCTTACTCAGAAAAACTGCTAACTCACTGCCACCGAGTCAATGCTGACCATGGTGACCCTATAGGACAGGGTAGAACTGCTGCCTCTTGGGTTTCTGAGACTACATCTTTACGAGAGTAGAAAGCCTCAGTTTTCTCCCATGGAGTGTCAGTTGTGTTTGAATTGCTGACCCTGTGACTAGCATTTCAGCATATAGTCCACTACCTAGCAGGACTCCAGTAGTGGTGAAGTAGAATCCAGAGAAGGTACAGTTGCCATGTTACCTGGGGTGGGCACAGCATCCAGGAATGGGAGGTCCTGGCTAGGGATTGTGCTGGCAGCAAAGAGGCATTTTCCCAGAGGTACAGAGGATAGTTTAGGAACTCCTGGCGGTGGTACAGGACGCCCTGCTGGTATAGTGGTTATGCATTGGCCTGTGATCCTCATGGTTGGCAGTTCAAAACCACCAGCACCTCTGCCAGAGAGAGACAGGACTTTCTACTCCCATAAACAGTTCAGTCTCATAAACCCACAGGGGATTGCTATGAGTCAGCAAGGCAGTGAGTTTCTCCTCTGAATAGTCAGTCTCAGAACCTCACAGGGGAGTTCTACCCGGCCCCATAGGGCCACTGTAGTCAGCATTGACTTGCTGATGGTGAGTGAGTTTTTGTTATTGAGAATGCTTCCTGTCTGACAGCGGGTTGGGGCCAAGAGAATCGAGCAGCCATAGAACCACCTTTCTCTAGCCATCTCTCAGGACTCTTGTGTGACCAGCTAGTAAGAGGTCAGTGTTTTTCAACCTCAAGTGCGTCCAGCTTCAAGCAAAGAATAATAAGTGGTCAGTTAAAGGCATTAAGTCTTTCTGGTCTCCTCCGTCTCAGAGCTGGATACCTCCGCCTAGAGATGATGAGCAAAAATGCTCCCAGTCCACCCACTCCTTTCCCTGTATTTCATTGAATTGATGTATCTAGTAAGTGGTAGGAGCAGAATTCTAAGTAGAGCCAGTTCCTCTGAAAGCAGAGGGCTGCATATGTTATTCCCCTGGCCTGGAGTTTGTCTTTAGAGACGGAGGATCTGTTGAGCAGTTAAGTATTAAAGAAAGCTCTTTAGTACGAACTTTGTGAACAGGTATTCTTTACCGCCCCAAAGCCCCAGACCAAGGGAACGGAGGAGGCAGGCCATGCGACCCCCCACATGGGGAGAGAAAATGAGATTCTTCTCTGGCTAGGCTGGAGGACTGGGCCCACCCGCCTCCCACTTCCTGCTGGGCAGCCAGAGGCCTGACAGAACATGGGAAGAAAGGCCTGCTTGTCACACACAGCATACCACATGTGTTCTGACAGGGTTCTCAGGGATTTTCAAATACCGTAAAACACAGGGCTATAGCTTTAAGCAGTGGCAATGTCGTAGCCAGTGAGGTTTATCCGAGGCACGATTATTGCTAATTGAAGAAAAAAAACACAGGGCTATATTACAAGGTCCCAAGTTCGAAACCACCAGCTGCTCCTCAGGGAAAAAAATGGGGCTTTCTATTCCGTAAACAGTTACAGTCTTAGAAACTGTTCTACCTGCCCTATCGGGTGGGTATGAATCAATCGACTCGATGGCAGTGAATTTGGTACTCTATAGTAATAATATCTTCTTTATTGTTTCAGGATAATAAAAAACCGCTCCCAGCAGCGAAATTTCCAGCTTCTTGTAATTACCCATGATGAAGATTTTGTGGAGCTTTTAGGGCGTTCTGAATACGTGGAGAAATTCTACAGGATTAAGAAGAACATGGATCAGTGCTCAGAAATTGTGAAATGCAATGTTAACTCCCTGGGATCGTATGTTCATTAAAAATATTCAAAATTTGAATGCCATGGAAACACAGGTCCTCAAGTAACTGCTTATTTCTGGTGTCAACAAAGTGAAAATAAAATATATTCTTAAAAGGGCTCTTTGTATCTTAACATTTTGAATTTTCAAGAGTTTCTAAAATTATTAAAGTTGCTTCACATGAAATTTGGACTGATTCCTTATTTCTGACTGTCTGTACTTCATCCTCCAGACAGGTAGCTGGACTTAGCCCAGCTTCTCTGCGGCCTCCCTCCACCCTCAACACAACAAACAGGAGAGCCGGCTAATTACCCACCACTGTGGAGGGGTCATCCTCCCTGCCTTCTGGACAGTTAGATTTGGTACAAAAATCAGTGTTAAATGTTACTTCTGGATTGATTTCCTTGGGTGTGCTTCAAAAAATAGTTATCAGTGAACACTTGGTTCTGAAGAAGCTCAGAAATGATGTGTTAATATTTGGCTCTGCTTCTTAACTTTGTGACTTTGCATAAGTGATCTCCCTCTCTGCCTTGGTTCTCCCAACTAAAATTTGAAGTTGAAAAAAGCCTCAGGGTTTAAAAGGAACCGTAAATATCCATTTATTCACTCCCTTCCCCCATAGAAGCCTAAGTTAGGCATCCAGACTAGCTCCCCAGCGTGCACATCCTCCCTCAGACAGCTCTGACCAGGACCAGTGTCCTGGATTCCCTGTGTTTCCTGCTCTTACCTGTACCAGTGTATGTTCCCTGGTTAGCCGGATGTGTAAGATAGAATTGGGGTCATAGTGGGCGGGAGGAAGCATTAAAGAACTAGAGGAAAGTAGTATATTTCATCTGTGCTGTACTGCTCCCTGACTGGCTCGTCTCCTCCCTGAGACCCTTTGGTAAGAGGGTATCCAATGGTCTACAGATGGGCTTTGGGTTTCCACTCCACCATCCCCCTCATTCACATTGGTAGGATTTTCTGTTTGGGGTCTTTGATGCCTGATACCTGATCCCATTGACACCTCATGACCACTCAGGCTGGTGTGCTGCTTCCATGTGGGCTTTGTTGCTTTTCAGCTAGTTGGCCGCTTGTTTGTCTTCAAGCCTTTAAGACCTCAGATGCTTTATCTTTTGATAGCGGAGCACCATCAGGTTTCTTCACCACATTTGCTTATGCACACACTTGTCTTCAGTGATCATATCAGGAAGGTGAGCATCATGGAATGCCAGGTAATTAGAACAAAGTGTTCTTGCGTTGAGGGAGTACTTTGAGTGGAGGCCCGAAGTTAGTCTGCTGCCATACTACCATGTGTGTACATAGGTGTATTTCCCTGTAGTTATATATAAATATTTACATATATACATGCTTATATTTAGACCTCTATAAATGTCCTTTGCCTCCTAGTTCTTCTACCTTCCTCTTGTCCCACTATCATGTTCAGCCGTCATTCGGCTTTCAGTAATTCGTTTCGGCTGCATTACCCGTGATCAAGCCCCACCAGGCATCCTATGCCCTCCTCACCATCGAGTTTAGATCACTTTTCCCCTTGTTCCTGGGTTTGTTGGCTCCCCCTTTCCTTCCCCCCACCTCCACCTCTCCCATGACCCCAACCATCGGCCTGTTTTCTCCTCCAGATTGTTTATCCCGCCTATCTTATCTAGTTAGGCATGCAGAGACAATAATGAGCACAAAACCAAGACAAAACAATACAGCAACAATAGCATTAAATAGTTTCAGGTCTGTCTGTTGACCTTTATGAGTGATTTCCATGCGAGTCTATGGGGTGCCACCCCCTGGCCCCACAGTCTGTTTTTTATATTCCTCAGGGACTTCATTGCTCTGCTCCCCTTGCTGTCCCAGCGCACAGCCTTAGTGCTCCCCCCATGTGGTGGGTCAGAGTGGGCTTGTTTCCTGTCACTCTTGTGAGAAACATTTCTCTAGTGATTGCAAGGAAGGCTGATACAGCAATACAGGATAGTTACAGGCAATGAAACAAAATGATCTTCAGTGAATTAAAACAGACTTCCCAATTCCAACTCCCATTTCTTCCTGTGGACATGACTTCTTGCATGCCTTTAAGGGTGGCGTTTTGTCTTCTATAATCCTTGTATTGCTGGAAGGTGGGGTAGATGTCCTTGATGCTTCTAGATGATTCTCCATTAAATTCTTCCTCCCCTCCCCCAGTAGGCATCCCAGAGCATGAGCCAGGTGGCATAAGTTCAAATCCTAGCAGCAGCACTCACGAGCTTTGGGAACTTGGGCAAGAAATTTGCCCTCTTTTACTTCGGTTTCATTACCTGGAAAAATGGTACCGATCTTACAAGGCTGCCAAAAGGATTAAAATTGACTATAAACTGCTTAGAACTGCTATGGGCCCAAGGGGATTAAAAAAAAGCCTCATAGCAACTATATTTAGAAACTCCAGGCTGGTCAGGCACGTAGTCATTGAAGATTGTCGCTCCATCATCACTCCAATACTAATTTTAGAATCAATGGATTTCATCGGTATCCAAATGATGACATAAGACAACCCTCCCGGTAGCCTCTCTGCTCCTTGTTCTCCTTCCTCCGAGCAGTTTGATGCCAGAGCTCAGTTCTTGTACTCATGGAAACCATCATCACCTCGCTAAGCATCTCACTCTCCATCCACCCCTGACACTGTTAGAATCACACCGGGGATTCCTAACTCAAGCAGTTCCTGGACTCAGGGTTTAGTCACCGTCCCTTGTCTCCCTCATGCATTCACTCCGCGCTCCATCCTCACCGCTGCGTCTTGCACAGCCCTGCAGCTGCTTTGCCCTTCTTCGAACTCAAACCCTCCTGACAGCTCCCACCTTTGGTTCCGCCCAATGCTGCCGTCTTCCTGCACGTGCTAGCCCTAGATTATATAAGCCTGTTAGAGAATACATTTCTCCCTCACTCTGGTTCTGGTTGCCATGGGAGAGGTGAGCCCCTGCATGCCTTGTCTGATGTCTCATTACTGTTCAATCACACGACCCTGTAGGAGCCTCTGGGTTGTGGAGGCTGGTCCCCCACACAGTAACTGTCAGAAACGCACAAGGGCAGTTCTAACCTGTTCTATAGGGTCTCTATGAGTCGCAATCACCATGATGGTAAGAAGCTTGTTCTGGTCCTTATCTGACCAGACTCAGAGCTCACTCATTGTATTTAGGGCAATCAGTGACAATTGGTTATTATCACAGCTTCATGACACAGTGTTACCAGTAGAGCTAATGAGAGGCTGATCAAAATACTTAAAACGGGAAAGAAATGTCCATGTTGTGCTGTTAGATGCCACCGAATCTGTGCTGACCCATAGTGTCTAGTCACAACAGAATGAAACTGCACAGTACTGAGCCATCCTTACAATTGCTCCTATGCCTCAGACCATTGTTGCCGCCACTGTGTCAATCCATCTTATTAAGGGTCTGCCTCTTTTCCACTGCCCCTCCACTATACTAAGCATGATATCCTTAGCATGATAATATATCCAAAGTATATCAGACGAACTCTTGCCATCCTTGCTTCTAAGGAGCACTCTGGCCTTACTTCTTCCAAGATAGATCAGTTTGTTCTTTCAGCTATCCTTGGTAATTTCAACATGCTCCAGTACCAAAACACAAATGTACTGATTCTTTAGTCTTCCTGATTCAATTTTCAACTTTTACATGCATATGATGCAATGGACAATACCATGGCTTGAGTCAGGTGCAACTTAATCCTCAAAATAGCATCCTTGCTTTTCAATAGTCGAAAGAGATTTTGTGCAGCAGATTTGCCCAATAAGTGTGTTGTATAATCTCTTGACTGCTGCTTCCATGAGCATTGATAGTGGATGCAAGCAAGACCAAATCCTTGACTGGGTGCAGATTGTCTTCAGGTGTGCTCTCCTCGGAAGTCCTGCACTTCCAGGTGGTGGAGTACATTTATGGGACAGTCAGTATCTCATGTTCCTTTCTCACGTAAGACAGGCTTGTCGCCATATTCCATGGGTTAAGCAAAGCTATGGGCTGGGGGGCGGGGGGAGCAGTCAGCTCTCTCCAGGGAGCTAAGACTGAACATTTGACCTTCAACTACGATAAGGTAAATGCCCTCTCTCCCGTTCCCTGGTAAAAGGCTGAAACACAGCATTCTGCAGGTGTTCAGTTAAGACCTCTAGACCATGGTCTAATTGGCTAAAGATAGTCTTACTTTTTTGTCTGGAGAGAAATTGTCAACAATCCCATTATGTGAGAACTTGTCACAAATGCAGGACACGTGACAAAAACTGTATATAAACCTGCCTCCAATAAAGTTCTGGACCCTGGAGTGCCGATGCTTCAGCAGTCCCCTGTGCCCCACCTGTTTTCTTTGTCTTACCTTTTATCTATCTTTCTTAACTGTGAGCCCTGCTCATTGTGAGAGAGCTGGTTCTCATGTAATCTCAACTTGACAACTTCAACGTTTTCTTTGTTTTTCATGATGTTACCTGTTGGTTGGTCCAGTTGTGAGGATTTGGGTCTTCTTAGCGTTGAGTCGCAGTATATATTGACAGCTATAACCCTTTATCTCCATCAGCAAGTGCTTCCGTTCCTTCTCATTTTCAGCAAGGAGGATTGTGT